GAGGGCCAGGAGGTCTCCCCTCAGCCTCCTCTTCTCCAGACTGAACCCCTCCAGTTCCCCCAGCCGCTCCCCAGCAGACCTGTGCTCCAGACCCTGCCCCAGCTCCGTTGCCCTTCTCTGGCCACGCTCGAGTCATTCAATGGCCTTTTTGGGGTGAGGGGCCCAAAACTGAACCCAGGAATCGAGGGGCGGCCTCCCCAGTGCCGAGCCCAGGGCTCAGATCCCTTCCCTGTCCCTGCTGGCCACGCTATGGCTGACACCAGCCAGGATGCCGTTGCCCTCCTTGGCCCCCTGGGCACACTCTGGCTCATTCTCACCCCCCCAGTCCCTCTCTGACCGGCAGCTCTCCAGCCACCCCTCCCCAGGCCTGTAGCCCCCCTGGGGGTTGTTGTGGCCCAAGGGCCGCCCCCGGCACTTGCCCTCAGTGAATCTCAATCCTCTCTGTCTCCAGCCCCGGGGCCCGGAGCCCTCAGCTGCCCCCCAGCACCCAGCAATGGCTCCACTGCTGCACTGGGGCCACGAACACCGCAGTGGGGTCCCCAATACTGCACCTCAGCCCTGCTGGGCTGTGACGCTCACACAGACAGACAGACAGACCCGGGTCCCCAGGGTGACTGTGTTGGACCTGCTGGGAAACAGGCCCGGGCAGGGGTCAGGGATTTGGGGGTCCCAGGCCTTGGGTGGGCACCTCCATGGGGGGCTGCTACATGGGTTAGTGCCCTTCCTGCAGTGATGAGAGTCATTGGCTGTATTTTAAAAGTGGGGAAGAAGCAGAAGAGGAGCTGCAGGGAGGAGGGTGAGCAATGGTGGGGGGACACACACCCACCCCACCCCACCCCTGGAAGCGCCCCGGGGCCCCCATGGAGGTGGCACCCTGCCCCAGGACACCCCGACTCACCCGGTAGAAGAGCGGGATGTTGTCGTAGAGGAAGGGGTACACGAAAGCCGCCGTCCGCAGCACGGGGACGCTCCAGCTCAGGGAAGCTGCGAAAGGGGAAAAGGGAGGAGGAATTGAGGAGGGGGAGTTGGGGAGGGGGGACACAGACTCCTGTCAGCCCCCGCAGTGGGGACCCTGCAAGCTTTGGGCCAGACCTGCTGCCTGCACAAGGGGATGACCCCCCCCGACACCCCAAAGAAGGAGGAAACATCCAGCCCCAGTTTCCACCCAACTGCAGCACTGGTGCTTTTTCCTCCAACAAAAACATACCGGGAGTAGCAGGAGAGGCCGGTGCAGACAAAGGAGTTAAAAGCAGCCACGGGGACAAAGTAACGGTGCAAAACGCCGCTGACCCAGTGGTCTGGCATTGTGTGGGCACCGCAGGCGAGCGCACAGCCTGCAAGAAAAAACGAGGGGGCCAGTGGCTGCCAGTCCCTGTCCCCGTCCCTGCGCCGGGGCCCCCGCAGTGGCTCACCCAGGCTGTAGAGGCTGAGGGCTCCGGAGTCACAGAAGTGGCAGATGTGGCGGGCGCGCGCCCACATGGAGCTGGAGGTGTGGGCGCAGCTGGAGACCAAGGGGTAGAGGCAGACGAGCAGCAGGTACGTGAGCAGGGGCCAGTGGTGGGGCTCCCGGCAGAAGTCCAGGGAGGGTGAGAGCACCAGGAAGCGCCACACGAAATACCTGCGGGCACAGGGGTGAGCCCCATGCCCAGCCCTATCCCCTGGCTCTGTCCCCATCCCTGTCCCCACTCCCACCCTCATCCCCTCCTCATTGCCACGCTTGGCCTCCTCCCTGTCCCCATCCCCACTCCTGTCTGTCCCACCGAATCCCAGAATTATTCGGGTTGGAAAAGCCCCTCGGGATCAGCGAGTCCAACCCTCAGCCCGACTCTACAAAGCTCTCCCCTACCCCACATCCCCCACAGCTCATCCCAACGGCCCTGAAACCCCCCCAGGGATGGGGACTCCCCCCTCCCTGGGCAGCCTGTTCCACTCTCTGACCACTCTTGCTGGGAAACATTTTCTCCTCCTGCCCAGCCTGACCCTCCCCTGGGGCAGTTTCCAGCCGTTCCCTCTTGTCCTGTCCCTGATCCCCTGGGAGCAGAGCCCAGCCCCAGCCTCTCTGCAATGTCCTGTCAGGAGCTGCAGAGAGGGATGAGGGCTCCCCTCAGCCTCCTCCTCCTCACACTCAACACTCCCAGCTCCTTCCCTGGCTCCTCACAGGATTTATTCTCCAGGCCCTTCCCCAGCCTCGTTGCCCTCCTCTGCCCTCGCTCCAGCCCCTCCAGATCTCTCTCCGATTGAGGTGCCCAAAACTGGTCCCCGTTCCTATCTCCATCCTTTCGTCATTTCCTTGTCCCTGTCCATTCCCCGTCTGTGTCCCCATTCCTGTCACTGTCCCATATCCCCACGCCCATCACCACTCCTAGTCACGTCCTTCCTACCAGGTCGGTAAGAAGTGTGTCCAGATGTTGACTGTCTCATTGTCATCTGGAAGGAGCTGAGGACACAGTCGAGGGCTGAGCTTGTGGGGTGTCAGTACCCTGACATGATCCCATCCTCCCAGAAGATCTGTGGGGGCAGCGGGGCTGGTCAGAAGACACATGGCAGGGGGGGGGCAGCCCCATAGAGCTGCTCTGGCCTCGTGGTGGGTGGGGAAACTGAGGCAGGGTGGGCTGGGAGCATCTCACCAGCTGGAGCAAGGCTGGGTGGGGACCCCCAGGTGATTTTTCCATCTTGGATGAGGGAACTGGGGGGAAAGGGGGGGAGGATGAAGAAAACCTGGGGGCAGAGCCCCCCCCCATCACCCAGCCACACGTACCCGAGGCACCTGATGGACCCTGAAGATCTGCGGCAGCTTTATTGTCAGCGTGGTGGGGCCGAGGTGCTCGGGGCTAGAGGTGTCGGGGCGCTGGGCCGCAGCCCATGGCCTGCGGAGACGGGATAGGGGCCACTGGGGGACGGGGCTGCAGGAGCCGGGACAGTCCCCGGCTCGACTCAGTGGCTTTTTCCAGGGATGCGACCGGCAAAGCTCCCCCCTTCACCCTTCCAGAGAGCCACGGGGAGGGTGAGGGGGCTGGGGGGGTGATCTGAGCAGGACTGGGCCCCCCAGGCCCAGGACAGGGGGGGCATGATGGGGTCACAGGTCCCAGCAGTCGGGGAGGGGCTGCAGCAAAGAGCCAAATCCTGCCCTCATCCCCTGCCCCACCACGTCCCAGCTCCCCGCGGAGGCTCCTGACCCCATTTACCTGCTCTGGGGTTGTCCTTGGTAGAACCAGGCTTAGGACCAGGCCACCACGGAGGAGGAAAAGCCCTGCGGACACCCTGCAGCCCCCCGAGCCCTGGCCCAGCCACAGAGGTTTACACAGGGGCCAGGGTGAAGCTGGACACAGAACTTGGTGGTTGGGGAAGGGTTTCCCCAGTGGAGAAACTGAGGCACGGCACGGGGAAAGCAGCCCAGCAGCAGCACAAGGGGAGTCCTGAGCATCACCCACCAAGCCCCAGCCCAAAACTCACCCAGTGGTTTAGGAAGGAAGAGAAAAAGGAAAAAAAAAAAAACCAAACCCAACCCAAAAGGGTCCAGAGACACCTCCCACCACCCTGCGCGGAGCAGGAGCGGAGCTGGCGAGGAGCGCTGGTGGGACGGAGGGTGACACCGTGCTGGGCCTCTCCCCCTCGCCCCCACAGGCCAGGGATCTTGGCCCCACGGCTGCCACTTGCCACCCGCCTCCCCCAGCTGCAGCGGCAGAAAGTGGCCGGAGGGTCCCTCCCCGGCGGACGGGGCAACCGAGGCCTCTGCGGGGGCTCAGAGGGAACTTTGTGCCGGACACGCTGCTGCCTGTGGCTGAAATCCCCCCAGAGTGCAAGATCCCGCTGCTCCAACAGTGGAGGGACTACTGGAAAGTGGCTCTGGGCATCAGATTTTAAATGCCAACGAGCTCTTTAGCCCGGGGAGCCGAGTGCCAGGTCCACGCAGGGACCCACAGCAAACACCCACCCGTTACACCACAGGGCCCCACGAGCGCCGCCGCAGAGACCTGGGAGGTGGGGAAAGGTGAAGAAAGCAAAATTAAATTTGGGAAAAACTTCCCGGCTGACCTGAGAGCGTCCTGCTGGCACAGGGAGGGCCGGAGGTGGCTCAGGCTCAGTCCGCGGAGCAAATGCCAGCAGAGGTGTCCGCACCGCGGCGGGATGGAGCCGCCGTCCAGGAGGTGGAGAGCTGAACCGTGAGCAGGATCCGTGCTGTCCAAGCTCCCAGCGTTTGGGATTTATTTACTCCCCAGAAGGTTCATGTTCCCGGCTCAGCACCCCAGGACGTGCAGCTCAAATCTGCAGGCTCCGGGGCACCGGCCGAGGGGGGGTTCTCCGGCCGGTCTGAGGGTTTGGGGGTCCCGTGAGCCTGCCTGCAAAGGGACCTGCTGGATCTACACAGGGATGCAGGTCCCGGGGCTGGAAAGCCCCTCAAAATAACCTGTGTGAAGCGCAGCAAACCCTGCGTGGGGACCTACTCGGGGCAGAGAAATCACTTTTCTGTACAGGGAAAAGTGGGAAGCGGAGGCGCAGAGAGGGGAGGGAGCAGCCAGTGATACGGAGGCTCCCGGGGCTTTCCAAGGGCCTCCGGTCCCAGCTCTCCATCAGCACTTTACGGTTTTAATCTGCTTCAATTTTACAAACCCCCCTCAGTTCATGGCCCCAGCGAGGCAGCTCTTGCAGGAAGAAGCTGCCTGGAAACGGAGGCACCGAGTTTTTAAGGAGGCAGGTGGCACATCACAGCCCCCGCCGGGGCCATCGGCGCTGGGCAGCCTCTGGGCACGGCCCCCGCAAGCTGGCAGAGGCGTTTCCAGCCCCTTTGGAGGGGACAGAGCTGGTGGTGACAGGTCCCTTTTGTGCCACGGCAGGCAGCAGCGTTGGGACGCAGAGCACGTCTGGCCCTGCGGGAAGAAGTCGCCCACGGCTCATTCTCCCACTAGGAACTAAAAGGCGGATTCGCCTTTTCGCAACCTCCCTCTCCGACTTTCCTGCTGCTGGCAGCCTCCAAGGAACTGGAGGGAGAGAGTAAATTATATTAGTGCCTGGCTCAAGGCTTTCCACCAGCAGAGCAAATAAAGGAGCTTTGGTGGGGATGAATGCAGGGAATGAAAGACTTCCCCCTCCCCATATAAAACATCACCCCTGGACCCACAGAGGCTCAGCTCCGCCCCCAAAACCAAGCCTCTTACATCAATACTAAAAGTTTAAATTTTTAAAAAATTGTGTCATTTCTAACCCCCCTGAGAAGACACCTAACAAACCACTGCGGTTCTTTTTGCTGATCGCAATGTCGCTGGGGTTGGGGATGCTCCTGCGGGGCAGGAACGTGCAGAGCCCTGGCAAGAGGATGAGCTCCAGCGAGCAAAGGAACAAAGGGAATCAGTCCTGTCAGAGGGACAAGGAAGGGACCCACCTACATTTCATCCCATCAGATCAAAAGCAAACCCAAGCGTTTTCACTTTCTTCCTTCACCCGAGTCAAACAACGTTCAGAGGGGCTGGGAATGGCAACGCTTTTTTTTTTTTTTTTCTGAAAAGCAGAAAGTTTGGTCAAAGCGCACATGTGATTCACATACCAAAAATGGGGCCGCGTAGGAGAAACACGGGCTGGGAATCACCACAAAACAAGAGGTACAAACATCTTGTATTTTATTAAGCTAGTCAATGTGTTCGGATCACAGTCAAGACACATGCCGTGAGAGCCCCCAAGCTCCTCCTCGTCCCATCGGTCCCCCAGCCAGAGCTGTTTAAGCACAAATCCACAGGCTGGGCTTTTTTTTTTTTTTTTGTGCTACAAAAGGAGGACTGAGGGAAGAGATGATTGTCCCTCGCCTCAAACCAAGCAACAGTCCTCTCCCTGCCAGCAGACAGAGGCAGGACCAGCAGCACAGGGATCCTGTGCCAACCCTCCTGCCCTTCTCCATTCTCACAGTCGTCCCGTTTTCCCCACCCTGTTTTCTGCCCCAGCCAGACTGGGAAGCTCTGCTGGACGTCAAGAAGGAAAAAAAAAAAAATAAAATTGTAAGATGCAAGCGAAAATCCAAGGCATTGCAGGTGGCATCGAGCCGAGCAGGGATCAGAGCAGAAGGAAGAGGCTTGGCACAGCCCGTGAAACCACCGAGCACGAGTCCAACAAGCACCAGAGCGACTGTGGCCACCAGCCACGGCCTGGGGACAGCCCCCAGCCCCTGCACTGCCACCCTGGGAAACCCAGCGAGCCTCAACCACCACAAACTCATGCTCCCCCAGCTTGGGGTCACCCCATAAACTTTCAAGAGCTCAACATGGTGGTAGCAAAAAAGGAAAAAAAAAAAAAAAAAAAAAAAAGGGACTAGCTTGGAGCTGGTTTTAGCAAGCTTTGAGTTGGTACAGAAATAGCACCAGACCTGAGCTAGCTTTCCCAAGGCTCCATCGCCGTGTGACACGAGGCTGTGGCTCTCCCCCGGGCTGGCAGGGGCAGGCTGTGGGGAGCTCTGGGGAAAGCCCAGCCACAGGGCTCAGGAGCCACGGGCAGAGCAGGGAGCCAGGATACACAGAGCCTCCCCACTGACCTTCCACGTTTTCTTTAGCCCTGGAGAACGCCTTCACATCAGCAACCAAGGTAACAGGCCAGGGAAAGCGGCCTCCTGCTTTGGGCTTTCTGGGGTGGGATTTGGAAGCGATGCCCCAAATCCTGTGTGGGGCAAACTGGCACAGGCCCTTAGACAGAACAGATCTGCATCAATTTATACCCAGGAGGAGACTCCAACTCGTGAGTGCTGGGACTGGGGCCAAGAAGTGTCTTCCTTTACCCCAATCTTAAAGACATCAAGTTGAGCCTCCAGTAGAAGGTGACAGAGCTTGACACCTTCCCCGAGGCCGCTTTGCTGCTACATTGCTCCAGAGCTTTTAAGTCTCCCACTTTTTGAGCTTCATGTATCTCTGACTGGGGATGCATATCCAATTAAAAAAAAAAAAAAAAAATCACCATGTCCTCAAGCACAGTTGCATGTTCTGGGGAGGAAGCCCTGCACAGGGATCTTTCAGGTGCCTTTTTTTAAGAGGTTACTATCCCTCCCCACTCAGCCCAGAGGTATGATGTACTGAACGATGCCACGGGGTTGTTAAGAATCCCCATCGCAGGGCTAGGGCCTTTTCCTCCTCTTCAGGTGTGCAGAATCTCTGGATTAAGATTAAAACCCCCCCTCAGGAGACCAGGGCACTTACTAAGGGGATGGTTATGAGGAAAATAAGGCAACCACCTTGCTGCCTTTTAGAAAGAAGCCCTCTGATTTCACCACATGGCCCTAAAGTGGGCTCACTGCAGCTCAGAAGCAACATCTTGTCACAGAAACATCATGTTCCTTTATTTTCATTCTTAAACTGCCTTCTGTGTCCAGCCCAGACAGGCCATCAGTCAGATTCAGGACATGGAAGGACTGTGTTAAGTCTCCTGCACTGGACTGTGATGCCCTGTTCCCCGTCCGTGCAGGGACAGCACCAGCCTCATCTGCTGCCCTGAGCCCCCAGCACGGGGCTCCCAGCTCTCGTCCTGCACCCCCAGCAGCCCGGGAGCCCCCCGACCCGAGGCACGAGCCGTGCCTGAGCAGCGTGACAGGCATTCCCTGTCGGTTGCTGCTTTATTTGCGTTGCTCTTTTCTGCCCTCAAGATCCAGCTGTGGCCAAGGGAATACCCAGCCCAGAGCAGAGCTGAGGAATGCCTCCAGCTCCTCGGGATTTTGATTTCAGCCCAGCAATTCTCTCACCTTGACCAACCCCAACTACACAGCCAGAAGGGAATGACAATTGGGCCTCCCCAGGCAGCAAACACAGCCAGGCTTCAGCTCGAGCAGACCTCCAGAAAGGAGCTGCTTCTGATGGGCTGTGCAGCAAGGCAGTGGATGGTTTCCTTTACGCAGCAGAAAGAAAAAAAAACAAAAAACACAGCCCACCAGCTATCCGCCCTGCTGAGCCAGGCTTCCACCATCACCACGCCGCGTTCTCGGCATCAACTAAGGGGCAAAGGGGAAGGGGCCTCTGCTCTGGCTCATACTTTGAAGGATAAGTCCCACAAGATGATTCTCTTTTCTTTTCCCATCCCATCAAACAAAAATAATAAGCTGAACAAATGGCTTCAAATAAAAATACTGGTAGCACTGGAGGAAAAAGGGACTGACAAGCTTCACAGCCCATCTTAGATCTCTAAGAACACCTAAAACGAGCCAGTCTTTGACCTGCCGTTCTCGCTTATGTTGTTTCCTTGGCTTAGCCTAGAAAAGCACCACAAGTTTCAGGAGAAGCTGCAAAAGGAAAAAAAACCTGTAGGGAATTCCTGCCACTCCAGCCCCTCCACCTGCCTTTCAGACCCCCCAGGTACAGACCTTGCAGGGCCAGCTCTAGCTCTAACTTAAGCTCGGCATCTCTCCCTGCTGTGCTACAAGGCTGCATGCTGCAAAGAAACTGAAACCGGAATATAAATGAATCCTCTGGGACTTGTGCTGGGTTGTGGGGTTTTTTTAGGTTTTTTTTTTTAGTTTTTACCTGAAAACAAGGAACATCCTGCCACTCCAGTACAATGCATCATGCTAGGAAGTCTGCACAGATTGGAGTATGTTACTTGTCTGTATTATGCCCCTTTCGTAGCAGCTTCTGGCTGGCCCACGTGAAAAAACAGGCAAACGTAGAAGACTAGTGGTTTTTACTTGCATAGCTGCTGTTAGTTCATGTGGATGGAGACATCTGTTTCTTGAGTACACTGACACAGATGAACTACAAAGAGGCTGTTCCCACTGCTCTGCTGTCCCGGGAGCAACCCGTTTCTTCATTTCCAAGCATCGGCGTGTGACAGGATGTCAGACACAGGTTGCTTGAGATGCTGTCAGGATGGAGATCTGAAAGGTCCCTCACAGGGAAATTAACTTTTCCAGCATCTGTCCAGGTAGCATCATCCCTTCTTTTTTTTTGGGGGGGGATGCTAAAAGCACTGAAGGGTTTGTGAGCTCAGTCCTCCTGGGCAGCGGCGGTCACTGCGCTGTCTCCGGAGGGATGCGAGGGGTGGGGACATAAAACACTCGAGTTCTGCCACCCTCTCTAGCATGGCATAGCAGCAGTGGTGTGTCGGAACAACCAGCAGAAGAGATAATGGCTTTGAGATCCTTCCTCCTCCACATCTCATTGCAAGATTTAGAAGGAAAAAAAAAAAAATTAAAAAAAAAATTTAAAAAAAAGAAGAGGCATTGAGTCCTTTGGAGATGTCTGCTCCAACCCAGGGTCACAGCACTCGAGGCAGGTGGTTGAGCCTTAGAGGTGTTTAAATCCCACGTGGCTCTTCTCTCTCTTCCAGCAACTCTGCTGGATTCCACTCCTTTCCTCCAAGGTCTAACGCTGGAAGCAAAGAAGTGGGAGGGACTGGGGAAGGAGGAGCAGAGTCCTTTTCACCTCTCTCAAGCAGCCCAGCCAAACTCTTGTTGCTTGTGAAGCACGCAGCTTGTAAGGAGAGCGAGGATGTGCACTTCAGACTACTCTCTCCTTGCAGGCCAAAATCCCTTTGCACTGAGTCCGCTCCATGGGGGACAGGGAAAGGACATAAATATGCTTGTTCAAAGAAAAAAAAATTATATTAAGAGCTTTCCCCCCCTTTTAAATAGCATAATTGTTTCCTTTTCTCTCTGACATTGGAAGAGTATCCAGAACCCCAAAGGAACTCTACTTTTTTTTTTTTAATATTATTTATATATTTAAAAACTAAAGAATTAAAAGGAAAAAAACCCTTGAAAAATAATTCAAAGGAGGGGAGAAAAAAAAATAAAACTAAAATCTGCTTTCCTGTCACCAGATTGCCAAGCAAGAGCTAAACACTCTTTGGATCTTCTTTCCCAAGCTAGGAGGGCTCCATTTCTGCTGCGCTGGTTTGGTTTCGCTGAAGTCAAGTCCACGCTTTCGAAGCTGCCTGCCCATTTCAGGTGACCAAGCAAGCTTTGGGGAGGAATGAGGGGGAATGAATGACTGCCCGTCTCTCGCCCATCTCTGCCGACTGGGAGAAGGGCAGAGCTCTGCCCCGGCCGTGCCGAGGTGCCTCTCTCTTCTCAGAGCAGTTGGCGCCGTCGGAGATGTACAGCCGTCTGGTGGGGATACAGGTGGAGGGTGTCTGTGTGCGTGCCCAAATTGTTGTGGTTTTTTTTTTGTTTGTTTTTTGGGTATTTTTTATTTTTTGGTTGATATTTTTCGTTATTGTTGTTGCTGCTGCTGCTTCTTCGTTTCTAAGTATCGCCCGGATTTTTGTTTCCTTTGTTCAGACGCTGCACGTTCCGAGAGGGGGAGAGAAAGGTACACCAACCCGATGCCTTTCCAAACATCAGCCCATCTCTTTCCACTGCTTGTAGAACTCCAGAACATTTTTTATTTCTACACTGGCATTGGCGGCTGCCTGGATGGCAGACTGCAAACAAAGAGAGACAAAACATTTTTATTTTTTTTTTCTTGCCCTGACAAGAAGTCTGCCCCTTGCAACTTGGGAGATTCTCAGGCAGAGTTTGTCATGGCTAAAAGGCTCAATTTTCCTTCAGGCTGAAGTTGCTCTGGTGTGAGAGGCCTGCGCAGACACACAAATTACTTCTCCCACCTCCCCCAGGTTACTTTGCACCACAAAAGCATGAGAAATCAAAGGGCCTTCAAGGAAAGAGGAATCACAAAATCTGGGAAATCCAGGACAGTTATTATACAAGGCAGAAATACTAATAAGTCAACCAGATTTTCACAGAATCATCTGGGTTGGAAAAGACCTTGGAGATCATCCAGTCCAACCATCATTAACAGTGCCCACCTCCCCCAGATCCCTCAGCGGGGGCTCAGCCGGACTCTTCACCCCCCCCAGGGATCCCGGGGACTCCCCCCTGCCCTGGGCAGCCCATTCCAACGCCCAACAGCCCCTTCTGCACAGAAATCCTTCCTCAGAGCCAGCCTGACCCTGCCCTGGGCAGCTTGAGGCCATTCCCTCGGTGCCTGGCGCTGGGGCCTTGGCTCCAGAGACTCATCCCCCCTCTCTGCCCCCTCCTGGCAGGGAGTTGCCGAGGGCCAGGAGGTCTCCCCTCAGCCTCCTCTTCTCCAGACTGAACCCCCCCAGTTCCCCCAGCCGCTCCCCAGCAGACCTGTGCTCCAGACCCTGCCCCAGCTCCATTGCCCTTCTCTGGCCACGCTCGAGTCATTCAATGGCCTTTTTGGGGTGAGGGGCCCAAAACTGAACCCAGGAATCGAGGGGCGGCCCCCCCAGTGCCGAGCCCAGGGCTCAGATCCCTTCCCTCCTCGCTATGAAGCGAGCCCCCTGGGCCAAGGTGGTGGCTTCATCTCCTGCTGCTGTCGTCCTTTACTTCAGCTGGAGCAGCTGTAATGCTGTTGCCACATGTCAGTGTTGGGGCCTGTTTTATGTGGCCCGTGCTGGGAAGAATCCAACATAGTGTATCGCTGAACATCTGGGAAGAGAGAGGCCCTGTTCGCCCTCTGCTTCATCTGCCTCCTGCGGCAGCCACTGCTGCTGTGCATCACAGACGGTTCAGGGCAATGAGGAATTCTTGACACATCTGGATGAGTTGGCAGCAGTAGAGCTGTAAACCAGATGTGGTGTTTTTTGTTTTTTGTTTTTTTTTTTTTTCTGTTAGTGATTGATGGCTTAGACTTCCTGAAAAAGGAGAATGCAGGTGCTCGGGACAGCATCCGGTATCTGGAGGCAGAATTTAAAAAGGGAAACAGGTGAGAATGGGGGAGTGATGGGATTTGCCCTTGCTTTTGGTGTATTTTGGGGTGGAAGAAAATGTTAATGGTGGGAGCAGGCGCTGCATCCCTTGGAGCAGAGTGAGGAGTGGGCCAAGGAAAAGCCAGGCCTCAGGAATGCGCTTGGCAGGAGGGAAAGCAGTGAAGTAACGGATTTGGCAGCTGGTTCTCCAGATGCGCTTGTAGCTGCTGCTCAGCCATGAAATGTAGCTGCTTCTGAGGACCAGAGGGAGCTGCATCTCTTTATCAGAGTATAAAAACCAGTGCCTCTTAATGATGCCCTGGGCGTGATGTAAGAGCTGTACGGCGTTACTGCCCCGGGGTGGCTGCAGAAGGACAAACGGCTGTTTCTGTGAAGACAAACTACATCTTTAAGGCCTGTGTAGGGCTGGTGAGCTTTGAAACACTCGGGTGGTAAGGGGGGAGGTGATCTCAGGGAGTCCTTGGGCAGGGCTTTGGGTGGTGTTTTGGTTGCTAAAAAGGTGGATGTGCCATAGAGCATTGACTCCAGGCTGTGACACGGCCTCTCTGAGCTCAGTGACTGATCTTTCCTCAGGTACATTCGTTGCCAGAAAGATGTTGGGAAGAGTTTTGAGAGGCATAAATTGAAGAGACAAGATTTAGATGCCTGGTAAGATTACAACAGCTGGAGATGCCTGAGCCTGATTCCCAGCAGGCAGGTGGCTTTGGGGAGAGGCGTTAGCACTGGGACCCATTGTGCAGCGTGCTTGATGCTCTAGTAATTATAAAATTTCTTAAAGTGTTAGGGCATCCATCTGTGCATCTCGCATAGCACCATGTGTTCAGTGCTAAGAAGGGTCTCAAAAAAGCCCTCAACAGGCAACAGAGAAACAGTTCTGCTCTCCCCGTGTCCTGAGCATGTGAAAGTACACAAACAAGTGGTCTTCCCCCTGATTTTCCCCCTCTGTTTCTATTTTCTTGCATCTGGCAGGAATCTCTATAAAATACTGGACAGCTGCAAACAACTGACAGTGTCCCAGGGAAGTGGAGAGGACGACACCACAGGAATGGTCACCATCATCACGGGCTTTCAGCTGGAGGACCCAAGCACGTTCTCGGCGCCCATGCAGGTCGGTAGCTCTTCAGCTGCACTGAGCCTTTCTGCTTCCTAGCAAGATCAAACCAACTGGGGGGGTTTCACTGAGGGCAAATGCCGGGGGCTGCCCTTGGGCCACAACAACCCCCAGCAGGGCTACAGGCCTGGGGAGGGGCGGCTGGAGAGCTGCCGGTCAGAGAGGGACTGGGGGGGTGAGAATGAGCCAGAGTGTGCCCAGGGGGCCAAGGAGGGCAACGGCATCCTGGCTTGTGCCAGCCCTGGCATGGCCAGCAGGGACAGGGGAGGGATCTGAGCCCTGGGCTCGGCACTGGGGAGGCCGCCCCTCGATTCCTGGGTTCAGTTTTGGGCCCCTCACCCCAAAAAGGCCATTGAATGAGCGTGGCCAGAGAAGGGCAACGGAGCTGGGGCAGGGTCTGGAGCACAGGTCTGCTGGGGAGCGGCTGGGGGAACTGGGGGGGTTCAGTCTGGAGAAGAGGAGGCTGAGGGGAGACCTCCTGGCCCTCGGCAACTCCCTGCCAGGAGGGGGCAGAGAGGGGGGATGAGTCTCTGGAGCCAAGGCCCCAGCGCCAGGCCCCGAGGGAATGGCCTCAAGCTGCCCAGGGCAGGGTCAGGCTGGCTCTGAGGAAGGATTTCTGTGCAGAAGGGGCTGTTGGGCGTTGGAATGGGCTGCCCAGGGCAGGGGGGAGTCCCCGGGATCCCTGGAGGGGTTGAAGAGTCGGGCTGAGCCAGCGCTGAGGGATCTGGGGGAGTTGGGAAGGGTCAGGGGGAGGGTCATGGTTGGGCTGGAGGAGCTTCAGGGGCTTTTTCAACCTGGATGATTCTGGGATTCTGGAATGAGGGGAAGGAAGGCTCAGTTTTTGCTGTGGAGTCCCTGTACCTGTTCGGGGGATGATGATTATGAACCTCCCGCTGGTTGCCAGCTGCTTGACAACAGCCAGGTGCTGGCAGAGGGCCTGGGTGTCCGGGACGAGGTACGGAGACATGGCTGACTGCGCTTTGGGCTGCTGGAGACTTCCCTCCAGCTGAGAAACCTCCAGCTGAAAAAACACACAGAGACACTCGCTTTGTATTTACACTAAAACAAACGATCTAACAGTGCAAGACTCACCCTGCAAAGCTCCATCAGGCCCTTAAAACCTCCCAGCACACGTAGAAGAGCTGGATGCAGCCAGGGGGTCAGAGGGAGGCGATTGTCTCACTCTGCACCGCACTGGTGTGGTCCAACCTCGAGTGCTGTGTGTGGTTTTGGGCACCTCAATATAAGGATATCAAACTACTACAGTGTTCCCAGAGGAGGGCAAACAAGAGGGTGAAAGGTCTAGAGGGCAAGACTTTGGAGGAGCAGCTGAAGTCACTCAGCTTGTTCAACTTGAAGAGAAACCTGAGGGGAGACCTCATCATGCTGAGGGGTGACTGCATCACAGTCTACAACTTCCTCAAGGGGGGCAGTGGAGCAGGAGGTGCTGATCTCTCCGGTGACCAGTGGTAGGACACAAGGAAAGGGAACAAAGCTGCAGCAGGGGAAGTTCAGGGTGGATATTAGGAAAAGATTCTTCACTGAGAGGGTGGCCGGTCAGTGGAACAGGCTCCCCAGGGAAGTGGTCAGAGCACCAAACCTGAGAGTTCAAGGAGCATCTGGATGACAATTTTAGGTGCACGGTTTAGTCTTAGGTAGCCCTACGAGGAGCAGGGACTTGGACTCGATGATCCTTATGGGTGTCTTCCAACTCAAGATACTCTATGAATCCATCTTTGCAGAACAGACTTACTGCCTCTGCGTGGGATGGAAGCAGAGAGCTCTCCCTTCCCAGACTCAGCTGGACAGGGTGCTGGGCCATCTTGTTTAGGCTGTGCTTTTGCCAGAAAGGTTGGACCAGATGATCCTCGAGATCCCTTCCAAGCTGGTATTCTCTGATTCCTAGTTTTAAACATTTCAGCCACTGCCCTGCCAGTTTTCAGGCTGGAACCTGCATCTCCTACCTGCAGTCGAAGCTGAGCCATATCTCTCATTAGCCTGTTCCGACGAGCTTCTTCTGCAGCCTAGTTACAAAAACAAACTTCCATATCAGTTAGCAGGAAACACACAAGCTGACACTAGCACATGCTTCCAGAAACAGGGTGAAAAGGGGACACCCAAGTAGTTTTATGGAACAAAACTTTTACCTCCCACTAAAGATCTGTGATTATAGTTACAATCTAATAGTAATCTACAGGAAATTGTGCCAAGTACAGAGAATCAGACCACCTCTGCCAACTCACCATGTGAAACTGGGCTTGTGCCTGGTGCAGCAAATTGTCTTGCTCCGACTGTGCTATGCTGATGAAGATCCCAAGCTCCGAGTTGAACTGCAGGATGCTGCCTTGCAAGTGGGTAATGAAGTGGCCAAAGCTCCGAATGCAGCAAATCCGAACAACAGACTGCAAAGAAGCAGACAGGCAATCACCAGCCATGTCTCCCCATGGGGGTTGCAGCCTGAGCCAGCTCCGACCCTGTAGCTCACACTTTTGGAAAAGGCAGAAACTGCTATTAAAAAAAAAAAAAATCCAGAGGAAACATTTCTGGTGAAAGTGTGCTTCTGAAGACAGAGACTGCAGGAGAGCCTACAGCTGGACAGAAAGCTTGAAAGTGCTTACAGTCTGGGCTTCCCCAACTTGAGAAAACTGCAGAAAACATCAACAGGCTTTCCCCCACCAATCTCCGCTCAAGCCCTCAGTGCTGGGAAAAGGAATCGGATAAAACAATCTATATCTGATCTGGGGGCAGGCACCACTCTCGGCTGGGCTGCTGTGTAACAGCAGCAAATGGTGAGCTCATGTGGGATGTGAAATGGCTGCACTTTGCTCCAGCTGCCCCAGCAGCTTGAGGTGACATTCGAGAGCTCAACTCACTGCTGTGATTTAACAAACGTGGGTCCCACGTCGCATGTCAGAGCGGTGCCCTCAAATCGAGGCAGAAAATGTTAATGTATTCCCTGCTCCAAAGGAAGAGATTGGTCTAGCAAGGCAAGGGAAGAGAAGAACCTTTTTCTGCACACCTCCGCTACCCAGAAACAATCACCTTGGCCTTTTGTGCTTGGGAAAACAGACAAGAGTGGAGAAAACAGACAGAAGTGTTCTACGAGGGCACGGTGTGGCACGTGAAGTGAGATTTCACCCACTTTTGCATTTACTAGAGCAGGATCACAGGAAGTATCCCGCAGCTCCAACCAAACTCCCTTCACTCTGGGCAAGGCAGAGATAACAACTCTTCTGCCCAGGCAGGGAGGTCAGAAGCAAAGCTGTCAACATGTGACTCTGCTTCCTTTCCTAATGACTCTGGCAGGGAAGGGAAAGCAATTTTCTGAACGCTGATTTTTGGATAGACAGATGACTACAGCAACCACCAATAACACGAACCCATCCTCAGTTTTTTGGCAAGAACAAACTACATCATCTGCACAGCCAAGACAGGCTGTACCCCCACAAAGGGAAATAAAGCTTGTGCCAAGATTCGGGATTTGCCCTGACTCACCTCCTCAACAGCTGAGAAAATGGGCCGGTCCTGCTCAAAGTTAAACCTCTTGTGTGCATTTTTCAGAGGGGGAAGATTCCGCAGGGCCACATCTTCTGGGAGCAGCAAGTTGGCTTTGAGGTCTGGCAGCTCAGCGCCGCTCAGGATGTCCTTGACTTCATTACACAGGGCCAGCCCTGGAGAGGATGGAGGGGAAGCACAGCAATATATGGTGACTTAAACAAGAGGAGAACGGCTTTAAGGCACAAAATCTGTAACAATCAAGGGCGAGGGCTTTAAATTACACGTGTATTCTGAGCATGTGTTGGAGGAACAAAAAGGCCACCCACGATATAAAGAGTAACTGTCCCAAACAGCCTGCTGAGGCACATCACTTCAAAAAACTGTAGTTTGGGGGATTAGCTTTCCCATTCCTTCCAACAGACAAACATCCCTGTTTAAACTATGCTTCTCATGAACCATGGGGATCTTTGGGCTGAGGTACAGGCCACATTATGAGCATTTGGAGCTTCAAAATAGTTTCCACAATTGCCATGACAAAAATCACACCCTTACTTATGGTCTTGAGAGTTAATTCCAATCACGTTGGCCACACAGAGACTTATGCACACAGGAGTGTTTCAGTGTATTGTCAGCTATATATAACACATTAATAGAGCTGAAGTCTACGGGACAGTATATAACTAGAACGATGTTTAAACACAAAAACACACACGTGATGTTGCTTCCCACTGTGCTTATAAGTAAAGTGCTACTGGCAAATCTCTCACCCCGGGATCTATCACACACCATGAAATCACTGACGACTAAGCTTACTGAAACATTACACTGTCACTTCCTTCTCCAGTACCTGATTCCTGCAGGTCTGCAGCAGAAGGCAGAAGGTTCAGGAGCACAGACAGCCTGTTCCACAGGCTCTGAGAGCTCTGCAGAAACAAAACACAAGAGGCCACAGAAAATGTCAAGACAGATGTAAGCAATAACCAGGCCACTTTGCTTTCCAGCATCTTTCACAGACCTGAGAATGCTTTATGAAGAGTAAACTTCACTACACTTCTTAGGTCAAGATTATCTTTTATTCAGCTGGTGGGGTTTGTACAGTCACCTTCTGTCCAGGACTGGGACAGCAGCTTCAGTATACCCTCAGTGTCCCTGCCAGGGGAGCTGGACACGGAGCAGTTCCCACCTGAGCACACATGATGATGAGGTCCGTGTTTGTCCTCAGCCAGTCCAGGAACACCTTGACAGTGAGCAGCAGCCCTTCGTTGGTGACGATCTCTAGTTTCTCCTGAAGGGATCGCTCATTCCTGCAGGATTTGCTACTTGAAATGCTTTCCTCAGAGTCAGACACATCATCTGGGAAACAAAGGGTAAAGCAGGATAGCAGGGATAAAACCCCTTGAGGAGCCAAGCGCTACTGGTACGAGAAGAGCACTGGGTTGGTACGAGCTGAACTTCTGGGTGCCTCCACACATCCTCATAAAATCAGCTCCCTGTCCCCTGTGCTGCTGATAAGAGCATATCACCGTTGCATTTTCTTCTTC